CCAAAGCCATATTCCGCGTTCAATTGTTAAATGGACCAACCCTTTTGGGGAAGAGCGACTTCTAACAACGTTGGTACGCTTTTAAGGTAGTAATTTGTTTTTTTAGGTTTTAGACGACTCCTTTTGTTTAAAAAGGTAACGATAATAGTATGTAATAATTCACTGTTTTTAACTATGGTTTTAAAGCATTTCTCGGGTAAATTTCACAAATGATCATATAACTATGCCTTTTTTCACCAAAGTCGTATAACTTTATTTTTTCTCACGCAAAAATCATAAAACTTTCACTAACTCATACAATGACCGGAAAAAAATAATTTTCTTGTAGTATTTTCTTTTTCTGTATTTTTTTATTTTTTATTTTCAGTCTATTAAATAGTAACTCAATTAAAATAAAGAAATATATATTTTTTAGCCGCTCTAGAAAATAATAGCCGATAATATCAATTAGTTTCGGTCTACTGGTCAATTTTATATTTTTCTCTTAAAATAGGAATACCCAACTCAATCGATCCGATACCCATATATACAAATTAATTTAGAATAAAATTAAAAGTGAATCCTTCCCTCCAGAAAACTTAGTTCGGAATGCATGAGATTCTCACAACAACAACAAACAAAAAAAGTATAATTAGAGAGCACTTGAAACAAATATGGTATCAATTTGAATAAAAATTTTGGAAAATAAAATAAAAGATAGAAGCATCGTATTTTGAAGGATTCACTTTATAATATATATATATATATATATATATATATATATATATATATATATATATATATATATATATATATATATATTGGGTCATAGGTTCTGGTTGGGTCATTCTTATTTTTATTGAATTATTATTTATTAGATTGAGAATAAAATCTAAAAATCACGGAATAAGAAATACTACTGAAAGTTGAATTTTTCAATCATTATGATTTTTATGTGAATCAATAAAAGTTTTATGATTTTTGGGGGAGAAAACAAAGCTATTTGACTTTGGTGAAAAAAGTCATAGTTATATGATCATTTATAAAATTTACCAAAGATATTTGGGAAAAGTCCAAAGGTGACAATTAAAAGTGAATGGAGGGAGTATTAAATCTAGGTCGTTTTTGTGCTTGCTAAAATTATTAACTTTTGGCTTAAAGTTATGAGAAATCAAATTTGAATTCACAAGAAACTTAAATGTCTTGACTCTTGTACTCTAAAAATTAATTAGACTTAACATTTTTATGTGTTGGTAATAAATTCGAGTAACATAACTCTATGATTAATTAAACATAACACATACTCCCTCCGGTCCAAAATAAGTTATATTTTGGTCTTTTTTGTGGTCCAAAATAACTGATTTGTTCAGATTTCAAGAATGAATTAATTATGTTTTTCCTACATTGCCCTTGGAGTAAAAAGTGTTGGAATATGTGTTAGGAGTGTTTATGTGAAGAGATAGTAAACGTTAATATGAGCAATTTCATTACAATTAATACTAAAAGGTGAATTTCTTAATATGTGTGAAAACAGCTAAAAAATTACTTGACCGTAGAGACTAACACTTTTATCTGAAGGAGTGATTTGTGTAAACAATTCTAAAAAAAGAAAGTACAATGGCCTGCTTTTTGAGTAATTGTACTTCGTTATTAATGCTAAGAGCGGTTTTGAAAGATCAAACCAAAACGTCAAATTAAAGTTGTCAACTATTAGGGACCAGTGGTTGAATTTATTTTTGGAAAATCATAATTTTAGTAAGTAGAAATGGTAATGCTAACTAGAATTGACGACTACTTTGAGCACGCTGAAAATAACTCTCTTGGTATTTCCTTCTTCAAATTATTGTTTACTAATAAGGTGTTTGGACATAAAAAGTGTAATTTTTGAAAAAAAATGGTATTTGGAGTTAAGTTGAAAATGATCTTTGAAATTTGAAATTATGATTTGACATGCATTTTACTTGAAAAAATATTGCAGTTTTGTGAGTGGGAAAAAAGTTTGGTTTTAAAAAACTCATTTTCAAAAAACATGCAAACTTTCATGGACAAATACATTTTTGATAAAAAAATTCTGAGAAATTATGGACAAACGGGTCTTGAGTAGCATGCGTTGCACTCGGTCAAAGTCAATGCTTTTATTTAAGAAATTAAATCAAGTCCACCAGAAAATTATGAAGTATGGGTAGGTGAACTGCTTCCTTGTTTATTTTGTCAAGTGTGTTTTATTTTATCTTCTAAAACCATCTTTCTTATAAACTATTAATTGTAGTTAAGGCAATTTGCAGTACTATACTGCGAATTGCTTATACGCAGTATAGTACTGCGAATTGCTGGGCCCAAAAATTGGAGTGTACTCAATTCGCAGTATTGTACTGCGAATTAGTTTAAAAATTTTTATTTTTTTAGTTAATAATTCGCAGTACTCTACTGCGAATTACTTTAACAGCTAAATTCCCGTTAAAGTAATTCGCAGTATAGTACTGCGAATTAGGTATTTAGGTAACTTTTTTTTAGTAGTAAAAACGTATTTTTTATCCAAAAAAACATTAGAAAAGTTTCGGACTCGGGCGGGGAGAGAGGACAAAATGTAAGGGACTAATTTCTTAATTTTATTTTATTTTTTGGTAAATAAAAGATTTTATTACCAAAATAGGTGCTGAATTACAAAGCATTTGGTGACTGGGAGTTGGACATGAGTCCCAACACTTCAAGTCACTCTCATGATCAAAATCAACTATGAACTAAACTATCAAGGCAAACTACTTACTATTTAAGTAGGGTAGAAGTCAAAATTTGCTAACCATCTTGCTACTTTGGGTTTGTGACTACCTCTAAAATACACCTCTTGGATTATATGTTTGGTCATTAGATTCACAGGTTGTTGGTTACTTTGAAATACTCTCATGTTCCTTTCTTTCCGTATAGAATAGATTGCAGCTACAAAACACATTTTGTACACCTCTGCTCTCGCACACCTTCCACTAGCAAACTTGATTGCCCATTGTAGTTCATCTTCCCAGTTCCTAGGCCTCCTGTTGATACCTTTCCATTTGAGAAGTTTATGCCAGACTTGAGCAGCCACTTCATATGCGAAGAACAAGTGGGAGTGACTTTCAGTTTCCTGGCCACACAAAGGGCATGTTGTATCGCTAGTCATCACCCATTTACTTAGTCTATCCCTTGTATATAGCTTGCCATGAGCTGCTAGCCGTAATACAAAGATCCATTTGGGCAGTCCAAGGTTATTACATACCATTTTCCTCCAGGCCACCTTTGGAAACTCACCTCTTAGCCTCTGGTAAAACTTATTTGAAGAGAAATGATCCATGTTGTATATGTTATCCTGCTTCTATATAGTACTTTGATGCCTTCATAATCTTCTGGATAATCCATGAAGTCTGTTTTGGAATGTCTTCCAGGAAGTTCCTATTAGCCACATAATAAAAGTATCTTTCTTAGTTTTTTTACTAAAGCTCTATAAACTTTATCATATCATTGAGGATTTTTTGTTATACTCTACTTGTCGCACCACCAAATCATGTTGTACACTATATATTTGTATTTTTTAGTATTTTCATTGAGTTTATAATATAAATAAGTTTTGTATTGAAAAATAAACAATTATTTTAATAAGAATGTGTACAAAATATTATTTTGTAGTAAAATAATTATAGCATGATATTACTGTTGAATTAGTAGTGTTTGATGGGAGTATTTGAGAAGAGGATGATTCTGTATAGGTCAAAATCCGACTACGGAAATTCAGCACGAAGAGGCGATTATCAGGAGTTATTCAAAATTATCATGAGCAATTTGGCGGAGGCCGACTAGTGATCAACAGAACGTATCGCTGAGCAGTCAGTCACGGCCGAGATCGAGTATCACAAAGTAGTAGTAGAGGTTAGTTATGTATTGGGATCCTAGAGGGAATATTTCATTTGTATTTGTACTTTTAGGGTCCTTTGGGGGATGTCCCATATAAAAAGGAATGAGAGATAAGGCAAAGGGTATGTAATATTCTAGGTGATAAGAACTCTTTTGAAAAGCAAGCTCTCTAGATAAATACAAAGAACATCTTTCTAAAGAGATCCGTCTTTTTGGATTATTTCTTGTCATTTCCACCAGATCCGAGAAAGTCTTCAATATTCTTATAGTTACTTGTCACTCATCATTGTCAGAGCAAAGGCATCATTCACCTCATTCAATATTGGGTGAATCTTCTTCTTTATTTATATTGGGTTCCATTTATTTCCATTTAATATTTGACACTTCTAGCACATTATTGCATCCGAAACATTTAATATACAATACATTAAATCTGTATCATCCCCTTTATATATCTTCTACATCACTTATCTTAGATCTAAGGTTATTATATTTAACCAGAATTAACCTCTTAAATATTGATTAATTAGTTTAGCCAAAAAGAATTATTTTCTTGTCAAACAATTTGGCGCCGTTTGTGGGAAATTTTCTAGTTAAAATTTTAGTTTCTTTTAGATCTATAATTGTCACGGCCCATTTTCACAATAGGTCATGAGGGCGCCTGACACCCTTGTCAGACAAGCCAATTGCGGAAACATTTCTAACACACTTATGTTGCTGTTAATTAAAATAGGTGAAATAAACACTCAAATTGGAGTTTAAACCAGAAGAACTGAATACTGTAATAATATGATTACACAACCCCAAAATAATCGTCGACCAAAGTGTGTGCCAGAACCTGGTGTCACAAGCTACGGGCAACTAGTAGAATATACATCCAAAAGAATACCACACTACCCTACTGTCTGGATCCGAATAGACAGAAAATAACAATACAAAAGAAAGACTTCTTCGGCTGCGGATCGACATGGAAGGAAAGTATCTCACCGTAGAAGTCCCAAGCCTGCTCACGAATGCGCACCAGAGAAATAACCGGATCCACCTGCCTCAGACCCTGTACATTTAAGTACAGAAGCGTAGCATGAGTACATAAACAATATGTACCCAGTGAGTATCCTGCCTAATCTCGAAGAAGTAGAGACGAGAGGTCAACTTGATACTCACTAGGGTCAATATAATATAATATAATTGTGCTATTCTAAGCATGAAAGTCACCAATATTCAACAAGTTATAACAAAGAGCAATAACCACATTCTTGTCCTTATTTCAGTTTCCCTTTTACATTTTTAATTTCTAAGCAAGTAGGCATGTCATGTTCAAGTATCAGCATATATATATATATATATGCAATCACACCGAGGTCGACGGCCCGCTCCAACAGTATTAAAATATGCACTGCCGAGGGTCGAACGGCACGAACCATAGATGCATCTATTCTCACCGAGGCGATCAGCCCGATCCATAAATATCAAGAAAACATCAAGAATGCACACGAAGGCTCACACATATACCATGAAGCTCTTACCAAGGCTTAACAAGTTCATACGTTCATTTCATATTTCCTTTAGGTTTGTAGCATATCATGAATGATCGTAGTGGCAATTTAAATAAGAGATACTTTCAAATTAGGCATGATGTGGGTCCTAAACTACCCATACAATTAATATCATAGTAGCTACGCACGGACTCTCGTCACCTAGTACGTACGTAGCCCCTGCATTTAGCAATAATTATTCAGTTATTACACCTATGGGGACAATTCCCTCTTACAAGGTTAGAAAGGAGACTCACCTCGCTCCAAAGCGCGCTCCCAATATCAAGAGCAAGCCCAAGCTATTAATTCGAAGCCGAACGATCACAAACTAGTTAAAATAGGTAAGAACTAGTCAATAAAGGCTTAAAAGGTCGAATTCTAACTATTTAAGTAATTTCCCAACCTTTTCCACAAGTTTCCTAAATTCCGACCCCGGGCTCACGTGCCCGGATTCCGATATTTTTCGAAGGAAAATGTTCTCTACAACCTAAGGATCAATAATATATAAATTCTAGTCCTTTTCATAACAAATTCCATGCTTAAATCTTAATTTTATCAAAACCCTAGGTCTAGCTCTAACCCTTTGATTTTATCTCATTTTTAGTGTTTAATCTACCTAATATACATGTATTTAAACTAATAACGAATCGGAGTAACTTACCTTGAAGTGCTATGTTGAAACCTCTCTTTGGAAGCCCCCAAATCGCCTAAGTGTGGAGTGAGAAATGAAAAATAACCTTTGAGTTCGAATTAACTGAACTCTCTGCCCAGCGATTTCCGCTTCTGCGGTGCCAGGACCGCATCTGTGGAAATCGCTTCTGCGGAAATAGGCCCGCTTTTGCGGAAATGGCCCAAGAAGCCTGGACCGCTTCTGCGGTCAGGTGCTCGCTTTTGAGGGTCCGCTTCTACGGATTTCGAGCCGCTTCTGCGGATTTTGGCCTAAGGAGCTGGACCGCTTCTGCGGTCTGGGGGCCGCTTAAGCGGAACCGCTTCTGCGGTCTCTGGGCTGCTTCTGCGGTTTCCCCTTGGCCTGGCCCTTTCCGCTTTTGCGATGAGCTAACCGCATCTGCGGTACCGCTTCTGCAGTCCAAGAACCGCAGATGCGGTTATGACAGAAGAAGCAACTTCAGCTCTTCTTCAATTTCTTACTTAGCTCGAACCTCGCTCGTTTGACGCTCGGGGCTCCCGAGCCCCGCCCGAACACACCGACAAGTCTGAAATCACGAGACGGACCTACTCAAACCCTCGGATCACCCAAAACAACGCTAAATCTTGGAATCACCCCCTAAAACCAAATGAATCAAACTATTGAATCTTCAAGTTCTTATTTCTCCTCTAACGGGTCAAAACGCCCTTAAACTACTCGGATTGGCACTAAATTTCACGGGCAAGTCTTAAATGACATTACGGACCTGTACCAAGCTTCGGAACCAAAATCCGAGCCCGATACCTAGGGAATCAATGATTTCTTAATTTCTTTAGTTCTTTAAAACTTCAATTAAACAATTTAAAACAAAAATTCATTACTCGGGCTAGGGACCTCGAAATTCGATTCCGGGCATACGCCCAGGTCCCATATTTTCCCACGGACCCTCAAAAATTGCCAAATCACAAATCCGGGTCCGTTTCCCAAGAAAGTTGACCGAAGTCAAACTTGGCCTTTTAAGGAATTCTTAAAGAAACAATTAGGCAATTTTTCACTCAAAAACTCTTCTAACTCCCGAACCGACCGCCCCCGCAAGTCGTGGATTAGTTAAAGTAAGTACGGGAGGCTTTATTTAGGGAAACAGGGTTCTAAAAGGCAAAACGACCTGTCAGGTCGTTACATTCTCCACCTTTTAAACAAACGTTCGTCCTCGAACGTACATAGAAAAGTACCTGGACTGCTGAATAAGTGGGGATATCTGCTCCGCATGTCCTCCTCGGACTCCCAGGTCGCCTTCTCGACCGGTTGGCCCCTCCACTGGACTCTCACCGCAGAAATCTTCTTGGACCTTAGCTAGCGATCCTGTCTATCAATAATAGCAACTGGCTCCTCCTCATAGCCCAAGCTCTCATCTAACTGAATGGTGCTCAAGTCCAACACGTGTGATAGGTCGGCGTGGTACTTCCGAAGCATCAAAATATGGAAAATCGGATGAACTCCCGATAAACTGGGGGGTAAAGCAAGCTCAGAGGCAACCTCCCTAACTCGTCTCAACACCTCGAAGGGCCCAATAAACCCGGGGCTTAGCTTGCCCTTCTTCCCGAACCTCATAATGCCCTTCATTGGCGAGACCTTCAAGAGAACCTTCTCGCCAATCATGGATGATACATCATGCGCCTTCTGATCCGCGTAACTCTTCTGTCTGGACTGAGCTGTGCGGAGCCTCTCCTGAATCAACTTTACCTTATCCAAGGCATCCTGTACCAAATCTGTACCAAGTAACTTAGCCTCGCCAGGCTCAAACCACTCGATAGGGGAACGACAACGTCGACCATATAAAGCCTCATACGGGGCCATCTCTATGCTGGACAGATAACTGTTGTTGTATGCAAACTCTGCTAGAGGCAAGAACTGATCCCACTGCCCTCCAAAATCAATTGCACATGCTCTAAGCATATCCTCCAAGATTTGCACTGTCCGCTCCGACTGTCCGTCGGTCTGGGGATGGAATGCTGTGCTAAGCTCTACGCGAGTCCCCAACTCACTCTGCACGACTTTCCAGAAATGGGAAGTGAACTGAGGGCCTCGGTCTGATATGATGGAAACCGGCACACCATGCAATCGAACTATCTTCCGAATATAGATCTGAGCATACCTCTCCGCTGTATAAGTAGTCGCCACTAGGATGAAATGGGCTGACTTGGTCAATCTATCCACAATGACCCACACTAAATCAACCTTCCGCAAAGTCCGCGGTAACCC